GAAGACTTAGGATTGGTTGTTCCGGGCGTTGATGATGTCACCTGTGGCAAGTGTATTTGATTCATAGGATGATGTGACATGGGGTAATCATGATGTTTTTCTGAGATAACAGTGAGATTGTCTGACTTGGGAGTAAGGACCGAACTCACGTTTAATTGAGGTGGGGTTAGCAAACTGTTTTTATTATATCGGAGTTCGAATGTTAACAAACATGATATTTCTCACCTACGGGTCTTTGGTTGTATTGTCCAAGTTCCTATTTTACTCCCACAATGTACTAAAATGGGTCCCCAACGAAGATTTGAAATTTATGTGGATTTTGATTCACCAATTATTAGGTATCTTAACCTTTAACGGGTAATTTATTTACTACACGTTTTGCAGATTGTCATTTTGATGAAATGACTTTCCCAACTTTGGGAGGGGAAAAATTGCATCCTGAAAAACAAGGTAAAATTTCTTGGAATGAAACAAATCTATCTCATTTTGATCCCCATAGTAATCAATGTGAGCAAGATGTTGAAAAAATCATTGATTTGCAAAGAGTTGCAAATCAATTACCTGATGTATTTGTTGACACAAGAAAAGTGACAAAGTCATATGTTTCAGCAGAAAATATTCCAGCAAAAATTGATGTCCCTGTAGGACAATCTGCTGTAGTAAATGAATCTCAAATATGCCAGAAGCGTGGTCGACCAGTTGGTTCAAAAGACTCTGTACCTCGAAAAAGAAAAGTACAAGAGAAAAACCAACCAAAAATTCTGGAAGAAGTTACATTAGAAAAGATTGATCAATCAGATATTGAAAATACGGTTCTTGAAGAACTACTAGTGTCCGAAAATAATAAGATTTCAATAAATTATATGTTATCTCATAAATTATGGGAACGAAATAATGTTGTTATAGACAATAATATCACCTTTAATGTGACTCTTGATATTATATAGAATGAGGATCCTGAACCACAGTCGGTTAAAGACTGTTAAAATAGAAATGATTGGCCAAAATGGAAAGAAGCCATACAGTCGGAATTGAATTCTTTGAAGAAACGAAAAGTGTTTGGACTTGTGGTTCGAACACCTGAAAATGTAATCCCTATTAGATACAAACGGGTCTTTGTACGAAAGAGAAATGAAAATAATGAAATCACAAGGTACAAAACTCGACTAGTAGCTCAAGGTTTCTCACAAAGACTAGGAATTAATTATGAGGAAACATATTCTCCCGTAATGGACACCATTACTTTAAGATTTTTAATTAGTTTGACCGTATCACAAAAGCTTGATAGGCACCTTATGGATGTAGTAACTGCATGTTTGTATGGTTCACTTAATAGTGACATGTATATGAAAGTCCCCGAATGACTTAAGATACCAGGAACACACGATACATGCTCGAGAACTATGTTCTCAATTAAATTGCAAAGATCATTATATGGATTAAAACAATCCGGACTCATGTGGTATAATCACTTTAGCGAATATTAGTTGAATGAAGGTTATAAAAATGATGATGTCTGCTCATGTGTTTTCATAAAGAGAATAAATAGTGGATTTGTAATTGTGGCAGTTTATGTTGATGATTTAAATTTAATTGGAACTCTTGAAGAATTCAACAAAACTGCTGATTATTTGAAAAATGAATTTGAGATGAAGGATTTGGGAAAAATCAAATTTTATCTTGGATTGCAGATTGAACATTTCGCAAATGAATTTTTTGTTCACCAATCTACATATACAGAAAAAGTTTTAAAACGTTTTTAGATGGATAATGCACATTCATTGGCATCATCTATGGTTGTTCAATCACTTGATGTGAAAAAAGATCCATTTCGTCCACTTGAAGATGGAGAAAAAGTTCTTAGTCCTGAAGTATCATATCTTAGTGCCATTGGAGCATTAGCTTATCTTGCACTGATCCGACATAGCTTTTTCTGCAAATCTCCTTGCAAGATATAGCTCTACACCAATTCAAAGACATTGAAATTGTGTTAAACATATTTTTCGTTACCTAAAGGGTACTATTGATTTGAGATTATTTTATTCTCAAAAATCGGGATCTGCTTTAGTGGGATATGCAGATGCAGGTTATTTATCTGACCCACATAAAGCTAAATTACAAACAGGTTATGTGTTTACACGTGGAGGAACGACTATATCATGGAGATTTGTGAAGCAATCCTTGACAGCTACATCTTCAAATCATTTTGAAATTATTGCAATCCATGAAATAGGCCGAGAATGTGTATGGTTGAGAAACATGATCCATCATATCCAAGTATCATACGGATTAATTTCAACAAAGGATAGTTCAACAATTTTGTATGAAGACAATGCAACTTATATTACACAACTCAGAGGAGGTTATATCAAAGGTGATAGGACGAAGCATATTTCTCCAAAATTCTTTCACACACATGAGATTCAAAAGAATGACGATATCAATATCCAACAAATTCGCTCAAATGACAATGTGGCCGATTTATTCACAAAAGCACTGCCAACATCTACATTCAAGAAATTAGTTCATGAGATTGGAATGCGTCAATTCAAAGATTTTCAGTGATCAACATCGAGGGGAATAGCTGTATTCTTTTTCCATAGCTTAGATTTTGTCCCACCGGGTTTTCCTAACAATGTTTTAATGAGACAGCATTTATTTTTAATACTCCAAAATAACTGTACTCTTTTTCCTTTGTTTGATTTTTTTCCCATGGATTTTTATCAAACAATGTTTTAACGAGACAAGTATTGTATAAATAATCATCAAAGGGGGAGTATTGTAAAATAATGAAATAATTATTGATGATTATTTAGTATTTTTATGATACATGGATAAGTCTTATCTATAGTTTAGAAGATCTATTTTATTCCAATTGTAACTCTTATTTTGGACCCTATAAATATAGGATATTGGTTCATAATAATACACAATTGAGTTTTAACTCTTTATTTCTTTTTTTATTTTCTCACTTCCATTTAATTTTATAACAAGAAGTTTCATGTTTCAAAAATAAAATATATCTTGTTTAAATATTAAATATTAATTATACAAATTTCATTTCAAAACCCTAATCAATTTATTTTTCTCTCCATCTCCATCTCCATCTCCATCTCCATCTCTCTCTCTCTCTCTCTCTCTCTCTCAGCGTCGCACCCACCCCCATATTCCAGCACCGGAACCATCACTCATTCAGCGGCGACAGGCGTAGCACTTCTCCGCCTCTCCCTTCTTCAGTCTCTATTCTTCTCTCCTTCTCCTCGATTTTCGACCCACCTTCATCAACGTTGATTCTGCCTGATCTACTTCGTCTCCTCGATTTTTTGGGAGTCTTATTTTTTGTTATTCGATTTAATGTGCAGTGGTCAACAGTGGTGGTGGTGGTGGTGGTGGTTGTAGCGAGTGTAGGATGGCCTGGGAGATACGATCTGGTGGTAGTTGTTGCAGATTGGGGCCAAAGAAGAGAATGGGTGTTTGTAGTTGGTGGCAGTGTTGTGGTGGTGGCTGGCGATGGCGAATTTGGTGGTTGAGGTTGGTGTGCAGTGTCAGGCGCTTACAGCGCCCTTGTGCAGTGGTTTGTGGTTTGAGTTTCTCTATTGGTGGATACTAATGAAGTGACAGGAGATTTTGGGTGGTGATGGTCGTGGTAGATGGTGGTGGTGGTCGCAGTAGTGGGTGCGATGGTGAAGGTGAAATATAGGTGGCCGTGGTCTATCGAGATGGATGTGTTGATTTGTTTTGAGACAGTGGTGTTGCTATTGGTTGATGGCAGTTCTAGCGATGGCTACGGCAGTGGTGCTGTTGGATGCAGTGGTTGTCGTAAGTGTTGGTGGTAGTTACAGATTATTTGATTGATTGTAACCATTAAAATAGTTAATCTGTGATCAATAAAAAAATATAGATTGTGATCAAGATAATACATGACCTAAAAAATTAATAATTTGTGACCTATAATATTTGTGATCTGCGACCCATAAATAAATCGTGACTTATAAATTTTTGATCTGTAACCGATGAACAAATTGTGAGCTACAAAATTTTTGAATTGTGATCGAAAAATAATACGTGGTTAATTCAATTGTAAATCTGTGATTAAATTTTATAGATATGTGACTTTAATATATTTTATTAATAAATTATATAAATAATTAATTAAATTATAAACAAATTTTAATGAATATTTGATTTTTGCAATTTGAAACTTTTATTCTAACTTTTGAAATGGACAATAATTAACTTCTTACTTATGAAATTTTCCCGTTTTAGAATTTCTCAGTAGCTACCCCCACCCTGCTTATTTCTTTATTTAAAAACGACATTTCACTTTGCTCACTCCTCTCTTGCTAAATTGGCTACCTATGCCTACTAAAAAAAATTAATAATATATTTTTTTCTAGATTAGAGCTAATTTTTAATTGATATAAATAGGCAAATATCGATCCTCATGTGTTCGACACTTACTAATTCTATATTAGTTGAACGCAATACCATCACTTGCAGAATATTTTTGACAACACTAACTGATTAAATTTATCCCAATACTCCTATAAGAGAATTTATTGATTTCCCACGTGAACATTTTCTTAATATTAATATTTTTATGCTTGTGTATAGAGTTATATACCACATCATACTCTCGCTCGTTAACATCCTAAAAGGCTCAAAAAATGAACGTACGTTCCTTTTTAGACGTAGATTAACTGTACCATGACTTGTTATTTGACACTTACTAAAAATTGAGATCTATTATGCTTGTTTGGTTTCATTGTAATTAGTGCTGAAGCTATGACCAAAAAACGTCTAATATAACTATGGGGAAAAAAATTTAAACAAGAATATGATAATATTAAAATAAAAAAATAAAATCTTTTTTTTTTTTTTTTTTTTTTTTTTTTTTTTTTTTTTTTTTCTTTTTTTTTAAACTAAAAGAGATAAAAAAAAAAAAAAAAAATTTTTTTTTTTTTTTTTTTTTTTTTTTTTTTCCTTTTTTTTTGTCTTTTTTTTTTTTCAGTGAGGATAGTGAGGTCATTTTGATTACAACATGCAGAACGGACAACTAATGCTATATTAATAAAAGATTAATGCTTGTACGCGACTAGGAGCCATCACGATAAAACCAAACATCTTAAATACTATCTCATCATGGCAGTGCAAAATCTGGTTTTGCAGTACCTTTACGAGTTTTCTGTGTATCTCAGTGATGCCCGGAAGAATGGAACTGGTGAATGCAAGCTACTGATGTGGATTCACGCTTTACAATATCAATAGTAGAACTACCTTTTTGATATTGGGACAGAATTCTGGTGCTTCCCATGGTTCGTCAGCGGCTTATAATGTTTTGGATACTGATTCGTCGCCATTTTCTTCCTACCATTCGACTGACCAATATCGGCAGCACGAATCATTGTAGATAGCGAGTCCACGGTTTCCAATGGCAATGAGATCTCAGACATTCCATCGTACGATAGAACACAGGCAATTGCATACAAAGAGGCTCCAAGATGTTCTGGAAGAACTTTCCGCGGATGGGTCACCTGGAACACAAGATATGAATTAAGAACTTTTTCTATAACCACAAAGCTTTTTCCTTCGAGTACTTGCTATAACAACAAAAGTATAACGTGCACGCAGAAAATTACTTTGTATAATATTGCTGCAGAGAGTCTCTCTCTCAGGCAGTAAATTTGAGCGACATCAAGCGCTGTTGATTCGAAAGGAAGACGCCCATCAACAATGACTTTAACTGCATTATCAGGAGAGGACATAACGTCCTCTTCGCGGCGAGCATTTGACTTATCATGACTCTCTTTTTTATCTTCATCACTATCATCGACATCTGTATCTTCATAGCCACTATCGTTACCCTCAACATCCTTCTCATTTGCTGGAGCCACTACAATCTCCATGGCCAATAATAATAATGGAAGCGGACCGACAATACTACCATTTCTAATGTGCAACCCCCCATCTCCACGAGTTATCTCATCAAACATGATCAAAGGTTGAATGCTAAATTTTTTAAACAATAACTTGAAAAGGGTTGAGTGGGGATGCAACCGAACCTTATCACCACTTGAAGTCTCCACAATGGGCTTCTTACCATTTTTAGGTGGAAGCAGTCTTCCAACCATCGGGTAAAGACCGGCAACAAGGACAGCATGGACTATTCCTGGGTCCCGGGCATTTAGGCTACAATTAGATGCATCTTCTGGTAGAAAACCATTCCGTCGTAATTCATTCTCCAGTTGATTTCGCATTCGTGATATCATTCTCATAGTGCTTGAAGATATGAAGTAGCGAGAACAAAACCGAGATTCTTCACCCTTTCCCTTTGCAATTTTCCATCCCTGGAAGGCGGCTACTACAGCTAACTGATCACCAAGGCCACCAGAAAGTGAAGCTAGCTCAGATTTTGCAGCTACAGCTGTCTTCTTTTCATTAGGTAGTGTGGGCAGAGTGAATGGGTCTCTATAGTCAGAAGCACAAGCTAAGGTCAATGCTGGGTCCAAACAGTTCAATAAAATTGCAATAAGAAGCATCTTGCTCGTAAGTGGATGAACTGGCAGAGATCCAAGCCTCTCCCCAAGTTCTGTAAGTTTCTCCTCAAGTGTCAGTGCGCCGATCTCTTGAAGAACTATGATCGCATTACGTATGGTCTCATGAATTGGTGGGTCCAATGTCTTCTGCAAAAATTGATCTATTCTGCCAGATGGATCTAGAAGCTTCACCTGGAAAACAAAAGCAGCATTACATGTCAACAGTGAAACATCGCCTCATGCATGGTGGGTCCTTGATACTCGTATAGTCATATTTGCACATTCTCTCGGAAGCAAGAAGGGAGAGGTAAGTACCTGCAAACATAGCTCTTCTATTGGAATCCTCTTAATCTCAGGAACTTGGAAGTCTGGCAAGGAAGCTGCTCTAAGTTTTGAGTAAAGATGATAGCAAATCCCTGGTTGGCACCGTCCAGCACGTCCTTCACGTTGCTTTGCACTTGCTTTTGAAATCCAAGAAGAATGAAGAGTTGACACATTATTATATGGATCATAACTTTTTTCTTTCATTCGTCCACTTTCTATGACATAAACAACATCCTCAATGGTGAGAGAAGTCTCAGCAATATTAGTGGAAAGAACAATTTTGCGGCATCCTGGAGGGGACCGTCTAAAAACTTTCTTTTGTTCCATTGCAGGGATCATGGAATGAAGAGATATAATGACAAATTTGGATGCGTCCTTGAAAAAGGGGCTAGATTGCAAACGCTCTCTTGTTTTATTTATATCATCCCAACCTGGGAGGAAAACAAGAATGGCTCCATCCTTTGAGTCAGTACATATTCTTCTCAGTAGCTGCTCAATGAGCACATAATCAATTAGTTCAGGGTCAACAGTAGATAAGTATTTATTGAGTAATTTTTCCTCCTCGGTGTGGGAAAAGGTTTTCTCAATGTGTTTTTTAATAATTTCAGCAGCTTCTACATGATTAAATCGCTCAGCCCAATCAAGAGCAGTATTTCCGTCACTGGCTTGTAAATGGCAGTCCACACCAAAAGAGAGGAGCATACAAATATCACCAATTCTGCCTTTTCCAGCAAATACCATCAGTGGAGTAACTCCAGTTATAGAATGCTGATAATTGAAGATTTTTCGACCCCCTTCAGAAGATATTAAATCAAGGAGGGGATCAAACTCATCATTTGACAAAGCCAAGTCAATAGCTTCATCAAGAGCTACTCGGTACTCCTCAGTTAAGATAGAGTCCTCCATTGTCACATCATCTGAAGTACATTTTAGGTGATTGTTTTCTGTTGATCTCAGTATAGGAAGTACATCCTCTAGATAGAAACTTTTCACCTGAACGAAGATGTTTCACATATCATATACTAAATTTTGATAGAGAAAAAGCAGCACCTCATATATTATTAGAACTTACAGGATGAGTAAACCCAGGAACTCGAATAATAGGACAGCCACCAAAATAATCTGAAAATCGTTCAGCATCAATTGTTGCACTCATCAACACCTGTTCAAGTTTAGCTGGTCAGCAAATTTTGGGGAGTTCAACAAACCTGGACTGGCTAGAGTAAACATGAATAGGCAGACAGACACTTTTGCATGTTTATCAAGGTACACAAAAAAGACATGGGAAAAAACTAACCAGACGCAAATGAGGATATGAAGGAAGCATGTCTCTGGAGACAAAAAGAACAAAATTAGCACAAAAATTTCGACATAGTATAATCAAAATAGAAATACCAAACAAATTGAGAAGCCAGATTCATAGCAAAGGATGAAACAGGCACTTTAACCAATAAGCTGTTTTCCAAGAAAAAACAAATATCATATTAGGTAACACAAATACTACTTTAGGCATCAAACAATGACACGTTCACTGGTCCCTACATAAAATACTATATCATGATGACTAAAGGAGACATAAGTTCATGGGCCAACTGAAGAGAGAGAATGTGATCCCGAGGCAAGGCACCTGATAATTGCTAGTATGAAATCAGAGTAGCGGTCCCTTTCGTGAATTTCATCCTAAAAGTGAGAACAAGTTTGTCAGGAACGGACCATCAAGATGAGAACAGCATATAATGGATGATACATAGATACTGTAAAACTTACTTTATAAATGAAAGCAAAAAGTACACAAAAGATACTAGGATTTGAAATTACGCGTGGAAAGGGAATTGATGTGTGGGAATACTTGCACAGTATTTATAGCAATCATTTATCAGAGGATGAAAAGTCATTTAGATTGTTGGAAATCATAATATAAATGAGTTAAGAGACAAAACATTACCACAATGATGTGGGTTAAGTCGGAGACATAATTTTCAGTATCCTTAAAAGCTCCTTTGCTAACTAAAACCCTCAACAAAATCCCATTGGTGCAAAACAGAAGAGAAGAATGTTTCCCACCTTTGCTCTCCAGCCGTATCTAGCATTTCCCATGAAGTAGATAAAGTCAGTAATATTTTCAATGCCAAAGGTATGTATTTAGTATACCTACAGTACAAAGAAGTGTGGAATGGAGAGTTCACACAGAGCACAACAAGAGAGAATGGACCTCATCAAGACTTCTGCTACTGGCAATTTAACTGTTGCACCCTACCATGGTGTCCTTTCTAACTATTATTGACAGGAGAACAGTTAGCTTATCTATTTCGATTTAGTTGTTTCAACATAAGTGCTTGTGCAGAGAATTTGCTTCTGCTCAGAATGTAATCAATTTTAGGAAACAATCAAGTCTTAATGGTAAATTTTATGACAGTAGCCCACTCCCACCTTTACCTTATGAATTGCTAAATGTTAAGATGATGAGATAGCATGTGTCATATAATTGTTTCTTATGGACAGTGCTGATAAATATCAACAACAATAATAAACAGCATCACATCTATTGATTAGATTGTATAGTACTGTTACGAACGAGGATATTCTGCAATAACTTATCGCTGATTTCATGGATTAGTAATGTTGCAAAGGAGAATATTCTGCTACAAGTGATGGCTGATTTTAAGGGATTAGTGGCTGTAATTTATATTTAATATAAGCCTAACCAATTTTACAAATTAGGAATGTTAGTTGTACAGTTTTTCTATTTCCCATTTTAGTTTTTTGTATAGCCCATAAATATATAGGTGTATTTGATGTTCAATGCAAGGAAACATAATTTCACAGCAATTGCCTTTCTTTTCTAGAAGTACCTTGTACCCTACTGTATCTCCAACATTTTCCCCTCTTTCTGTAGCAATTCTCTCTGCCACTGCACTCGAAACATCAAAGAGTAAAGACATTTACACATATCTGAAAATCGAGAAGAGATGGGAAAAGGGAACATATATATTTAAGGCTGGTTCTGCCCACCTGATGTGGCAGAGATTCGCCGTGGCTGAGTACAAACAATTTTACATGTCTCTCCTTTACCCCACACGTGATCTAGAAGAAACTGTGGGACCTGAATCATATTGATTGTGATGAGGATAATATAAATAACATATTCAAAATAACAATATTAAAGATATTATGCAGAAAGCCAAACCAACAAGACCAGGAAGGAGCATTGTGACTAAATATATCGAAACTGTCCAAATATCTTGCTGTAGTCAAAAATTAATTTGATATATCAAATGTTTTGATTCGCTCTGCCTCCACAAGCAAACACCATATATACCAGACAACTAAAAATAAAAAAGAAAGAAAATTACTTGTTTCATTTAAAATATTTTCCCATTCTCAGACAAGCAGAGGTTGTGTAAAATAAGTTCATACACAATTACGCACACAAAAGGAGTAAGAGCTCATTAGGGGCCTGCTTGAGCCACATTTTTATTCAAGAATGTATTTTAAAATAGTAAATTGATGTAGAATGTGTGGTTTAAAAAAAAGAAAAAGTTTTGAATTTGCATATAATATTATTTTATTGAAGAATGTGTGGTTGAAAAGAAAAGAGAGAAAAATGTATTTTAAAAATAATGTGAATCAAACAAGGGCAAGCTAAGTAGACATTTCAAATTTCTCATTCTAACAGGGTAAAATATGATTATGTTCTATTCTATAACACGATTATTCTTGACTTGAAACATATACAAATTAAAAGTTAGTGGATTGTCTTTTTTGCTTCCAGTGCATTGAATAAACATCCATATATATTTACTAAAAAAGGAAATAGTACTATTACGAATTGCAATTTGGAATGTCAATGCATTTCTATGCACATGGACACACAAAAAAGAGTAGGATTTCGTTTGTCTTGTAGGTGCAAGATACTTATGAAACAATAAAACTCTATCCTCAGCCTTTAAGCTGAAGCACTGCGCTTCTAATATTCGAGTAACTCATAATCAATTTCAACCCTTGAAAATATAACGAACTAAGTCGACAAAAACCACAATCCCATTACAAATCTCAGATCACAAAGCATAATACCTTTTGTCCACCTTTCAAAACAAAAGCAATCAATATTTTGCAAAAAGGTAAATATGACTTATTAGCGAAATGAAGAAAAAATAAATAAAAACTAAATGCATTACAATTCAGATTATAAGTTCATTAACTATTGTTTGGTGGTTGGGAAGGGACACAGCCGCAGGGAGCAGAAATAGTCACCTGCGTCGTTTTTCCGCATCCAGTTTCACCAGATATGAGCACAACCTGCTTTGGAAAGATGAAAAAATCTTTAATTTATTGGGCATGATCCAAAGGAGATAAACAAATGCAAATTTAAACATAAAAAGGATCTCTACACTTTAAAAAAGCAGTCACCGAAAACCACAAATCCCATCAAGCTGAAAAATAAATTATAAACAGAATCTTTCTTCTCCGATTCTCTGTAAACCAGGCTTCCTAGTTGTAGGAGTCTTTTGTACATAGCCTTTCAACATTCTGTAATTCTGGGATTTTAGCAGTTATAATTGTTACATGACATCAATGTGATTCAGCATATATGTGTTATAGACAACTAGGCAACTACTAAAATAAATTACACCATAGGCTTGTTTGGAACAGATTTTTCTAAAATCATTTTTCTCTAAGATAATTTTCAACCACATGTTCTATGGGCCCACAACTTTCCCGACTTTTCAACCACACATTCTCCAAAATAATCCTTTTCACTTGAAAAAGTCTGTGCCAGACAAGCTTTATGTAACACGTGATGAAGACAACCTGATGAGATTCCAAAGCTGATGTAACGGTATCCCTGAAAGATCCAATTGGAAGCTTAGACCTCTCCTCGGTGATCTGTAACATGGAACCACGATAACATGCATGGTTTTCACATTTAAAGCTGATAAATAACAGTACTAAGAGTGCACACGATTCAATGGGAAAGTAAACTAAGTGATAAGGCACTAGACCTGTCTCAAGTATGGGGAATTCTCTATTCTTGAAGCAAGCGATACCACCTGACTTTCAATTTCAGACTTGGTCATTGCAGGTTTGCAAAATATGTCATCTTTTCTTGGTTGTACTATATCAGTTCTACCAGAACTTTCTCCAACGTTATTCTCAGACATCTCTACGTCATCAGGGGGATACCGAGAAAACAAATCCTGTAAAACATCTTTTGCTTCTGCTGAAAATCTGAAAGAAACAAGATTTTCCTTCCCCTGTTTGCCCACTTCCTTTTTGGTCTTATAAACAGAAACTCGTCGATTATCACCGCCCCTAGAGAGAGTTACTTTTGAAAGATAAAGAACCTAAAAACCAAAATCTTTTAGGTAATATACTCATGCTTATAAGTAACTACTTACCCAGAACTCTTGGACACCAGTCCCATTTTTCTACATAGGATATGCACTGCAGCTCGATCTCGATTCGACAGATTAGCTTCAAATGTATACACTGCATCAGTGAAAGTTAGACATGCTAAATTAGTTGTGCAATTACAAACAGTAGTAAGCTATGCAGAGCATAACCAGCACAAAAATGTGGTCAAAGTTGCCTAAATCAATTAGAACACCTTGTAGGTATAGTGCTCACCTTTCAATTTTGACATCACAAACTTTCAAGGCTTCTTGTACCTTTTAATGCTATTATCCATAACCAATCATTAATACCATGCTACTCTACGCTTTTATAAGCCTATCTACTTCTTTCTAGAAAAAATATCCATCAGTTATAATTCCAGTCATCCATATATCATATCATAATCCAAAAATACTGTGATCAAGATCGTTTAGATTGGACTGACAAGCTATGATGCTCTAACTCAAGTACAAGTATTGGGTAGGGGTACATATTTAAGTGTCGGATATTTTATTTTCTAAAATGTAAGATACGGGAACATAGCTAAAAAGAATCCAAATTTTGGACACGAGTACGTGGGTACGTTTTCCAAACTTCAATTTTTTTTACTAACCAAAGATATCATTTTAAATAGACCAAAATCAATTATTCACAAAAAAATAAATAAGTATTGAATAAAGGGTTAAGACGAATAAAATAGAATTTTGGAATTTCATTTTTTATTATGGGAAGTTAATTACTAAATCTTATATCTTATATAAAATAGAAAATGAGGGACTTGATTGCAATTTGAACTTAGTTGAATATTAAATAGCACTATATGGAACACATGTTCATTGTATACAAACAAAATCCTAAATCACTGATACAGAGAGGGAAAGAAGGAAAAAAAGAAGAAAAGGGAAAGAAAAATAAAGAAGAAGGGAAAACTTACCTCCGTAACCTTTCTCTACCCTCTCGGAGGTGGCGCTAGATTTATAGAGAGCATAAACGGGGGGAAAAAAAAAAAGAAAGAAGAATAAGCAAAAACGGCGAAGTGTTCGATTAAAATTTGGAGGATCCAACACATATCCCACACCCATACCCATGTCGTGTCCGACACACGTACTTCAACCATTTTGAAGAGTCCAAGCATAAGAGCTGATAAGTGTGTACTAGAATTTCAAATCATATCGGCTTGCACAGCCTGATATAAGATGAAACTACCTTCGTAGACATTTACAAATAGTAGTCCCCTTAATTCCAAGCATAAGTAGTACTCAGACAAGCTACCAATTTTCAGCGTTAATTACTCGTGTGGAAGTTATCTACAGTCACATAATCATGTAAATCTTAGTGCCTGTTTGACAACCATTATTTTACGGAAAAAAAAAGAGTTTTGGATAATGATTTTTAGGAGAATTTGTGGTTAAGAAATAGGGAAAAGTTTTTGGTATACATGTAGAATAATTTATTGTGTGAATGTATGGTTGAAAATGGTTATGTAGCAAACCATAAAATAAATTAATAATTGTCAGACAGCTTAATCAAATATTTGTGTATTCCAAGCTCATTAGTGATTCATTTTGACAGTTGAGCTACATAAGGACAATCACATATAATATATAAAAAGGGAGTTCATACCAAATAATATTTCAGTAGAAAAAGTCAGAAAATGGAAACAAGTCGTTCATGTCGCACAGTAAAACATTTGGACAAGAAGGATAATATAACACATCAGCATACCGGATAACACTTGAACATAATAAATAACAGAAGGAAAAGTCTTAAATTTCAATCTTTCACCAAATAAGAACATAATAAATAACAGAAGGACAAGTCTTAAACTTCAATCTTTCCATTTGGGGTTCAACATTCTTGTTCTGCAGCAAGCATAAAAAGTAAGAAAGAAAAAGAAGAAAGTGCACCAAACTTATAGACACTATCTAGCAATCAACGGTAGAGTCGGTACATCTGTCAAATGACAATACAATGAAATGTATTAAAATAATAATCTGAATATGTTTTTGGCCTTTCCGATATAGTGGTGGAAACAATAATTTTGTCTGAGAATGAAAAAAAGGTGTTATATTGTGCAACAAATGAAACCAGCTGCCGTCATATTTGTCGTATTTGGGCAATGAATAGTTTCATTCAAAGCAGACAGGTACAGAACAAACTTCATATTTAGGAATGAACAAGCAAGGACAGCATTAAGTCCAAACAAACTCAGCATTATACTATGAAATGCCTGATAATTAATACTCCGTCCATCTTCCAAACAATCTGTTATTACACGTTGAATTGAAACTTAAGTTTTACAAATACAACCAGCCTCACTGGTTCATAACATTAAATTTTTTCAAATTTCTAATTCACTGTACTATTTAATTGATTCCAGGCTAAATGAAACCTCATCATCGTACATACATATAATTATGGGCGCAATCTAAAAGATAAATGCTTATAGAATGTGCACATGGATTACATTTTTAGGCAAATGAATATAATTCCTGAAAAGGTAAATAAAAATATAGCTGCTAAAGTTCTTAAATATCAATCAAATTCAACATAGCGTTCAACCAGATCAAAACTAAGCAATAAGTAAAAAACAAAAGATTTACACGAAAGCACATTATTTCTCTCTCTCTCTCAATAAATCAATACACGAATTCTTCTTTTCGTTTGGATTTAAATTACCTTCATCGTCAGATTTACGGAACTCTTCAAGAATCTTGGACACATTAATTCGAGTGGCTTCGGAAACTTTGGTAACTTCTTGCACGATTTTCCCTTTTTTCTGCCTCTTCTTCACAGCCCCGCCGGATGCTTCTGTTGCCATTTTTCTCTTCTTTTTCTTCCCCGTTTTACCTATTGTTTTTTTCCTTTTTGGTATACTGTCTATTTTTTTCTTGGTGAAATGGGGATTGAAAATTTATTGTCTCAGTTGAGTCCTGTCGGTAGAATCGGAGAAGAAGATTGAGGAGAAGGAGCGGAATGCATTTGCAGATGAACGCGCAAATGAAGTGTACGATGTTTGCCTTTCTCGTGCCTACACCTTCTGTATTAACCAAACGGGCTTTTAACATCTCCTGGGCTTTCTTGGATTTACCCAAACAGCCATAATTAAGGCGTTCCGCTAAAAATTAAAAATTCAGAGAAATTTATAAGCAATATTCACTTATTCAACATTAATTTTAATATATTAATAAACACTTGCCAAACATATACTAAGACAACAAAACCGAATCATTTCCGTGCTATTGTAGGATACTTTGAAAATAATGGGTGATCCACCTAGTGACCTTTTTGCTTATGTTATTTTCTTATTTCAAAACGAATAATTATTGCACAAATTATTGTCGATGAGGGGGGTGATCCTTTAATTTATCGCAAGTGTATGGTACTACAAACAAGCAATAAAGTGAAGAGTATGATCGTTTCCACGAATATTGTGTACTCAATATAGTGTCAATCACTTGTAACTCTAATCGCATAGTCAAATATATTTAGAGAATTTATACTAAGTAAACTAATTGTTCTAGTGAACAATTTGTAAGGGTTTTGTAAATTTAAACTGAATGTTACTAACACCTAGAATTGCAAAGAATCGTGATTTATTAGAAGAACAAAACCTGATTTTTAAGTTGATAAAGTAGAAGAGGATGAATCTTGATGTTCTTGAATTTCTCCAATGGTTGCTTGATTGATTCTCCTAATTCTTCTTCCAGATTTCCCAAAAATCCTAGAATTAATCTTCAATTGATGAAAATCTATCGTTTTCCCTTTAATTTTCACCTAAGACATTTGAATTCTCCTCTCTTGATTAATGTTGATGGATGAAATATGTATAGGATAAGTCCCTTTTTCAGCGTACGAGGCTGCTAGGTATTTATAATGCTTGAGAAATATATGAAAAATCACGTTCAAAATCAAGTCGAAGATGAATCTAGCTCCATCTAGCAATAGCATGTTCAACCCTTATTTTTGCCTGGGCAATCGCATGGATTAAATTGTTAGTTTATGTTTTAGTTTTTCGAAGTTGGGAGCGCCCATCTTAACTAACACTGCACAAATGTTAATATTTTTATCATAAGTTTCTCTTCACGATAACTGATTGAGGTGATTCGAAGTGTGTTGAAAAACTAACGAAAATGGCTATAACTTTATTAGAAATAGTATTTTTCTAATTCGAACTTTTAGCATGCCCTTGTTTGAGCCCATTCTTTCCAAAAAATAAATAAATTCTTAAATAGTGATTTGATATCATTTCAATCACACATTTTACGCAAATTCAAATTTTTTCCTTATTTTCTAACCACACATTTTCCATCAATACATTATTGAAAAAATCATTTTTTCCCTCAAAATGGTGATCAAACAAGGGCTATGTCAAAAATATATCTCAATATCCAGTAAAAATATTAAATATAACTTGTGCGGTTAAAAATTAATTTGTGAAAATACTTTGATCATATTTAACTCATTTTTTGACTTCGAATTGCATCAAATCAATTCCTAGCAATTTTCACATATCGTTTTATGGTCCGAATCAACTACTAAAAATTTGCAATTAAGTTTTTGAACTTTGAATTGCACCATTTTCCTTTCCTTTGTTCAATTTCACTTTCAATCATCGAGATATACTTAATAAAAACAAAATATACAATGAATTACATCATAATTAATCAAAATAAATTCAAATATATACATTTTAAGGCTCAAATAAGTGTATAAAATACACTTCGTGGAAATTACAGCCACTGAAGTATTTTAAGTTCATATTTCATTATTAAGTAATTAGGTTCCTTAATTTAGAAATCATGTCGTAATTAATTATTTATCAACATTTTAATATATATATTATCTCTAACCGTTTCCACATTTTACGTTCATAGTAAAGAGAGAAAATTTTTAAATAAGGGAAAGAAATCTTTCTAAACTGCTCAAACGCATTCCACATTCCTTCACGATCAACCGTGATATAAGATACATACCCTAAATTTGAAATCGGTCTTCATTTACCCTCTCGCTTCTGTATTTGTGACCCGAAGTCAAACAAGTACTCCAAGCGTTTGGTAATGGCAAAAACCCGGAGTTGTGATCGAAAATCTCAACAGAAAATAAACAGTCCCTCTAGAAGCCATCAACGGAACGTCAGAAGTCCACAAGTCGGTAAACGTGATTGCGATGGAACCCCGAAAACCTCGATCAAATCTCGAAGATGAAAATCGAACAATGTAAGTATTCTCTGTAGTCTATTGCGTTAAATGGTCATATGGGTAATTTATTTTTGAACTCGCTGAGTGACTTTGAACGGAGTAGTGCTTTATTGATGGGAAAATTTTCAAATTTTAACGTGGTTTATTGGTAATCCTTTGTCTGACTCAACGGTGTGAAGTGAAATTTTTCGATTACATTTGTGACTCGATGGTGTCAAGTGCTAAATGGTTGTGACCTGTGGGATTGTGACCAATTTTTGTGACATGCAAATTTGTGACTATGGAAATTGGCTCATGTTATTGAATATGGTTGTTGTACATATGTTTGAGTGATTTTTGAAATCATATTGGTAACACGTGCGTTACAATTTTTCGAGTACACTTGTGACTCAATCAGTGTGTTGTGCGAAATGGTTGTGACCTGTGTGATTATATGTTTTATGTCTCGATTTGCATGTGTGCATGATAAAGGATTTTGAGATCTGTTTCCAATTTTCATAATGTTTTGCATGAATAAAATTACATAATCCCCCAAGACCTATGGTTTCCTGGTAAAATTACAACCACTGTGACCAAGAATGTGTTGACCAACTTCAAATCAAAGTTCATAGATGAACAAGAGGTTATTCTGGCAGACATTTGTTTTTCCTTTTACATGGATTGCCAGGAAATTGTGGTCCAGTCTCAACTCATACACTACTTTTTGTTGAGGGAGGTGAAGCAACCGAATCCCAATGAAATGTGGTTCAAGGTTGCAAACAAATATATTTGATTTTCGTTGTCTGAGTTCTGTGTAGTCATGGGTCTGAGATGTAACGGCAAGGATGTCAGGAAAAATCTCGAGCATATTCCTTCTAGGTTCAAGGGAACATACTTCGAGAATTTGAAACTAGTCATAAATGAAGATGTGCGTGATGTATTATTGAACTTGTTAGATGTAGACGATCATGATGTTGTAAGTATCGGGATTTTATACTTGATAACGTCTTTCTTGTTCTCCACGTCATATGAAAAGTTGGTTGAAAACTACTTGTTTGCCTTAGTAAACGACTTTGCCGCGATGGAATGGTTTCACTGGGGTAAAGAGTTGTTTGAGACGTCTATAAAATCTCTAAAAGAGGGTTTGAGTCATAGGAATCCCCACTACAGGCTGAAAGGGTTTTTGATTGCATTTCAAGTCTGGATTTACGAATCAATTTCAAGTCTTACTGGACCTGTCACCAATAGGGTGGGGAATAGGTACCCCTACATTGTGAACTGGGCATCGAACAGACAACCTTCTGCAGTTAAATTGGATGAAGAGGTCTTCTCTAAGCCTGCCATAAGTGTGAAACTTTTGGTTCTTAGTTGTTGTTCATTGCTACAGCAATCACATATTAATGGTCACAACATATAATATATAGTGTAAATGGTACAATTATGTTAAAGTCAGCAACACATGAATTGGTCATTGCATATTTCACAGATCACACACTTGAAATATATCCTACATTCATCATGTGATGTGATCAAGTTTCCATCGCACGATAATAATACTTAACATGCTTACGTCACAAAAAGTTTGATAATCAATATGTTCTTAGATAACTGATATGATTGTTAATTATATCACTGTTGCAGATTGAAGTTCGTTACGTTGTTCCGTCTGATGATGAGATGGTAGCTTCATATATGAAAGACATTTTGTATAAGAAACCTTTGCCACATGCGCGAGGGGACATGCAATTTGGAGATACGGGCGATGCAGGCACGAGTGTCCCTGTCCAATCTCACACACCCAGACCATGGTTGCTAATGATAATAGATGGATGTAAAGGGCATTCGAGCGATGTTTAAGATGATGACGACGATGATGACGATTTTGTTGATACACCACCGAGAAGGAAAAATGCACCTTCCCATTTCCACCCACCTAATAAGGAGCATGTAACGCAGGGATATTATCCTACAGAGCCAGAGGGGCATGACATCCATACTTTAGCCCAGCCGTAGGCTACCCGTGCAGATGATGAACCACAACTAGCTGTACGTTATCTAGTATATTTATTTCTGGAGTCACAATTTCGGATATTATGTAACAATCGCAAGTTACATAATAATGTGTTATATTGTCAGAACACATGTATTTCAACGAGCAGTTGACCTATGTGTATAGCTCACATATTTGCCAAATAAGGTCACGGACTAATGTCTCTAGTTTACTAAGAAATATGTTTTTATCTCACATTACCGTGTCACAAGTCACAGACATATGTCTTATACATTTGCACTGGTCACAAATCACAACCATGTGACATACTCATTTTGCAATTATTGAATTACAGGTGTTTGACAAGTTGATAGAAGAGTTACGTAGACAGATGACCGAACTCCAGTGTAATAATAAAGAGTCAACAGTGCAGCTCAAGGATCTAAAGTCACAACTATTAGACTTAAAACAAGATAGGAACAGTCAGATTGATCAACTAATCCATGTCCAAGGTGAAATTCGATTGGACATGATGGAAATACGGTCGAGCATGACATTCTTGTCCAGTTTCATTACTACTTTAATATCGAGTATGATGGATGCAATTTTAGCCAAAGCAACTGAGAAGAGTGAAGCTAACAGTGTTGGAGATGCACCACAACAGGAGACGGTACGTAATTCTATAATCAAAATTCTTTTTTGCTGTCATTAGCTTAAGTTGTCTATTAATATTTGTGTTACAACAGATCACGGATATTGAACAAAATATCGATAGGAAAGGCAAGGGCAAGATAGACCCAGCTAACGAAATTGAATATTCGTTCTTTCCTCCGACCCCGTCTTTCGACCTCGGTGTTGTTTCAACACCAATCATTTCTAATAAGGTTGATGCTATTATAGCTGGTGTGGTAAAGGATTGTGAAATTGAGGAGCAGGCTGATGTAGTGACGAAGACCATAAATGAGGACCAAGTACTTCATATCGCATTGCATACATTTACGGGTCATAAACACCCTACATATTGACTTGAAAATGTGGTACTGCGAGCAGATCACCTTTCATCCTTACGCGTGATATTATTAAATACTTGTATATACAGTATATGTCACAAATATTTATCTACATGTCACAACTATGCGGTCACATGACATATTGTCTGCACAAATATATTTATTCAAAAAATGCATTCATTATTTTTCGACATGCATGCAGGGATCTCCTCCTTCTGCACCGACATTGGGTTTGCCAATTAAGAGAGCCCCTAGACCCACACGGATACTACAGTTCCCGTATGTTACCGGTGTTGGAAAACAAATTAAGTATTCTGATGATGCTATTGTTTACGACAAGCATAACAAGAAAGCGGACGAGGCTGATGTTGTTGCATTTCAAAACTGGTTTAACAGAGTTTACAAACCAAGGAACAACTACGTACATTTGATGTCCTGTGCTCTAATATATAAAGTTGGGTAATCTGAGGTTTTAATTTATATTTAGCTACTATCTTCCCATTTCGGAAAGAAGTTTAACGATGCTGATAATGTCATTCGCTCACCTTTTGTACTCGGTTCAATTCCCGTGGGGTCGAAAAGCTGGTGGCATCAACTTATAGATTCGGAATCTTCATTGAGTAGCACGGTATGATCCTTGAAATTGGTCACATATCACAAAGTCACAATATTATGTACACAGGTCACACACACAGAGGTCACAAATCTCTGAAATAGGGTTACATATCACACCTGCAGAGGTCACAGATTACTGAAATGGGGTCAAAGATCACATCGGTGCATGCACAGGTTACTGAAGTTTGTTAAATGTGTCGCAGGTCACAATATTATGCACATAGGTCAAAGATGTTTCGAACTGGGTCACAGATCTTAGGTCACAATATTATATACATAGGTCACAATTGTTTAAAATGGGTCACAGATCTGAGTTTACAATATTATGGTTTTCACATGTCACCAGTCTTCTGTGTGAGGCACATTAAACGTGTGCCTAATTACAGCATTCACAAGTTAATCTTTCCGTGCTTTTTAACTTTCTATCACATTTTACAGCATATGGACGTCTGTTTTCATAATCTGCGACAATTTACATTGAGAAGTCAAGAAGCAAGATTGTGTGCTACCACAACTGATGTTTGTTCCAGGCTAATATAAAAAACATATTTCCCCAGTTTCAGAAAGACCCAAATGTGATAATGTCGGATAAATACATTATTGAAGTTGCTACCGGTAGACGTTTAGAATTCAATCACCATTGATCTGAAGTTGATTATGTGTTTTTGCCAATTTTGCCCATCAATCGTGCACATTGGAAGCTCTGTAGACTTGACATAAAAAATATAAGATGTAAGTATACAACTCAAGCTACAAGATCTATCGTGAAAAAATGACTTTGGTCTGGGTTGACCCCTTTGTCAGAGTTATCCCGCATTTGTTGTTTGCTTTGGGCATCTGGAATCGAAGCTCTGTTGATCCGGGTAAAGATCCAATTGTGAATAAGGTGTTGCTTGTAGATGACACTTCGCATCAACAAAATGAGTACAACTTTGTGACATGTTTTTTTCTTTTTGTGACTTATTTTTTATTTCAAGATTTTCAGTCATACTGACATCTTTCATATGTTACCTCTTGAATTTGTTGTACAGTCATGATTGTGGCATTTTTGTCATTAAGTACGCAGAGTACGTGCTACGTGATGACATTAAGTCTATGCCGATGAATTTTGATGTGGGCCAAGTTAGGTTGGACATTACCACCCGCTTGTTTAAGCACAAAGCTATCAAGAAGCTAACTGAGTTGGTACAGTCGAAGAAAAAGAGCATTGTCGTAAAGTGACTGTAGAAAGTTTGTATAGTGGCTAGAATACTTTTTGGTGGTTTATGTTTCCGCAATGGATGGAGTTTATTTTGTTCATGTAACTTCAAATGGCTTATTGTTTAAGTGTATTAACGAAAACTAAACAGCTTGCATATGGTTACGACAATGATATATATGACAATTCACTATGTTATGTACACAGGTTACAGATGTTTTGTGAAATGGGTCACATATGTGTGGTGAATTGCTTTGGTAATAGTGTTGATTTGTTATATGTTCATGTGTATTGGATACAGTAGACACAGGTCGCAAGACACATGAGTGTTTGCACAGGTCACAGATATTTGTGAAATGGGTCACAGATCAAATGTCACTATGTTATGTACACAGGTCACAGATGTATGTGAAATGGGTCACAGATCACAGGTGACTATGTTATGTACACAGGTCACAGATGTTTGTGAAATAGGTCACAGATATTTGTGACATAGGTCACAGATCACATGACACTATATTTTGTACACAGATCGCATATGTTTGTGAAATAGGTCATATATCACATGTTACGGTATTATGTACACAGGTCAAAGATTTTTTTGAGATGTGTCATATATATCAGGTCACAATATCATGTACACAAGTCACAGTTGTCTTGATATGGGTTACAGAATTATGTGCAGGGGTCACACGTCACATGCCAAGTGACTATGTACACATGTCACAGAATCACATCACTTTGTGCACACGTGCATAGGTAATTAGATTGCACTCACATTCTTTGACCTGTATTCCTTGGTCACAGATTGTCCGTCACAATTTGGGTCACAAGTCATATGTCTACGTAACTTATGTCACAAGTCACATAATTTAATGTACGAACGCTAACGTGAGAAGTTCATCTGCACATTTTGATTGTCACATATTAATTATAAACTATCACAATGTTCTTATCGAATTTCAAAGCAAGCCTAAATTGTGTTCGTGTAACGGCTTACTGAACCAAAGTAATGAATGCTAAAATTTCGATACCATTAACATTTCGCATAATTTTGGATTATTTTTTCGTTAATGGAAGCAGGTTGTTGCATGTCCTGCGATTGTGACCACTACCTTCACAGTCAACATTTCACCGTTTGTTTTCCCTCAATGCACGATCTTCTCATTTTTTCAACAGGTCTGCCAGAGCTCTATTTCTGATTAAGTGTCAGGACAATTATGTCTTCAACTTTCGGTGGCACAATCCACTCATTTGGATTTCCCACTGGGTATATTGTGTATTGGTACGTATTCATGTACGCTTCACGGGTGTAGAAGTACGAACAATAATTGTACGTATCCCGTTTAGTTGTTGCTATTACAGTCAATGCATGTGGACATGACATCTGATCAACTTGACGCATCCGACATGTGCAAGTTCGTTTCTCTATATCAATGACAAATGATGATCCCGCATTAGCGACCGAAAATATTGTTTGGTTTGCTAGAGAAATCTGCGAACAAAGAAAATGATAACGTCGGGTCACATGTCTTACATACTAGATATTCCACCAAGTCACATATATATGTATATGATGTAATGTAACAAATATGATCGTCACCCTCATATTCCTCAAAGATGTGCTCATTTCTCTTATTATTTTCTCGTACTTGGTGGACAACTTTGTGAATGTGCCATTTGCTGTGTTTCTATTCTTACAAAACCAAGATTGTATTGTTTGTCGTAATGAATCCAACAACGCTATTATAGGATAGTTCTTCGTTGCTTTTGTGACTGCATTGGCAGATTCCACTATATTAGAGGTCATTGTGGAGCCGTGACCACCTTCCTGATCCAATTTCATCCTAGAAGCCAAAACATTATTAGGTTGAAAAGCGTACATCTTTCCCGGACAGTATGTAAATGTATGAAAGTAAGACCTTACGAGGTAACCTCTAATCTTCTTGTTGATTGTGTCCAACTGTTGCATATTTTAGTCGAAATCTGACAAAGTGTATGCACGGACAGCCAAATTGAACGGTTGCGTTATGTTGTGACCTGATTTACCAAAATGTGATTTCAAATTCTGTAGCAAATGGTATGTACAAATTCCATGGCTTGTACTCCGATATACCCGTTCGATTGCAGTCTTTATACTATTATGCTTATCTGATACAAAATAAAGTCCTTTCCTATTACCGTAAGCACTCCTCAGGTTTTCTGAAAATCATGTCCAAGATGCATCATTTTTGTTATCCCCAACACCAAATGCAAGCACAAAGATGCTGTTATTAGCATCCTGTGTACAGGCTGTAAATAGAGTGCCTCCGTAGTGCCCATTCAGGTACGTGTCGTCTACAACAATTATAGGTGTACAGTGGACCCATCCTTCAATCGATGCACCAAGTGCCATGAAACAGTACTTGAATCTGCTGTGACCATCGACCTCCAACTTTGTGATCGTTCCAGGATCTATCTGTTCAAGCATATAAAAGTAGCTTGGTAGTTGTCAAAATGACTCTGTTGGATCCCCCTTATTAATTTCAAAGTTCTTTCTCGGGACCTCCAAACTTTAACATAATTCATTGTGACCCCATATGTATGCAACATATCGTTACATATATTGTTCGGAGTGTATACAATACGCGATAATGTATACTTATACTTGATGCATGAGGACACCACAGACATTGAGACTTGCCTGTGAGATCCTAAGACTATGTTTGAAGCATAATGTGTGATTAGCAGTTAGCTTTCGAATCTTGAAAATCTCTGTTTTTCTCAACCTTGAAGACCTACCTATCCAGCTGCAGTCACCATGTGAGCACTTGACTAGATACTCCTTCTTATCTGATCGAACTACCAGTATTCAAACATATTTTATATGACAAAGAAAGATGTGCTCAATTTCAAAACATCTTGATTGCGAAATACTCTATCTTCTTCTATACTCATAGCATCAGGAATGAAAACAACTGTGACTAAATTTTCATCCATGCCGTGAGATGTTTCTACAACTGCATCACATATATCAGTTGTTATATTTTGCAATGGATACACACCTACACTAGATTGCACATTAAGTGCATTTGGATTAGCCAACATAGAATTGAGCGATTCATGTCCTATTTCTGTAGAGGTCACCTCAATGTTTATGGGGTACTTTGAGGGGTCACGCTCTACAGTTTTTAGAGTCATGTATGTCCGAATATTACTGTCACTACTTATTCTTACTGGAGACAGATCAACATTCAGTGTGTAAGTCATTGTGACAACTACTTTAGTAGGATCTAGACTGAACTGTGTCATTGCTGTTTCTACGAGCTTTATATAACTACAATTATTATCAATCATCACTAGTGCCGGCTGTGACCCGTATAACAAGCAAACGTGCACATATTCCATTTTTGTAAAATTTCAAAGGAAAACTGTCGGCTTCAGATTAGAAAATCAGTGACATCATCTGTTATGGTCACATTTATATAGTTCTTGGCTCTGACAGAAACTATGATTTCATATACAACTCAATGTCACATACAAAAAAGTCAGTATCATACGTAGAACACTACCACATGCAATCAATCCCAGTCACCTATGACGGTCATACATTGAAATTCATGCTATGTATCGAGATCGGTCACATAAGCAATTGTCCATAACGTAATGATTTCACGTCCACAATCATAATACAGCTGAGTCACATAAGCAACTGTCTATAAATCGTAATGTTCAAACATGAATTGGTTGATTTCGAACCCACGCGATGAAAACAGACGATGTCATAGGATTTTAAAATTGGAATCACATACCTAATTGTAATCCAGAATCGACGAATCTCCGTAAAGAACGATGGTTGCTTGATTACGGATCGATTAATTCCAATTGTTATCGAGGTCGATTCCGATAACATGAAATGATTTCCTTCCTACGATTGGTCGAGCTTCTTCTTTTTGGATGTGGCATTGATTTGTGACTGAGATTTCTACAGAAATTGTAACAGATTACTTATGTCCTGATTTGTGTATTTTAAATCTTGATTGGTGTATGTTAATAGCCCGAGTTATGTATTGTTCCCAAACACTTATCAGTGGTAGTTCATCCGGTACGGTTAATCACTTAAAAGTGCATTTAACTTATTTTTAAGCATTGGCAAATATACTTATCCATTTTTAGTATAATCTTTTAATGAAGACTGTGCATCCTGTGAATAAATTTGAAAATAATCTTCTCTTTACTTAAGATAGTGTAAGATCTATTAAAATTTTTCATTGGGGTGTATCCAGACGTGGTTATAGTGATTTTAAAAGATTCTAAACTCGTTATAATAATTTAATTTAAGATCATGATTATTCATTAAGTACATTAGTAGGATGAACAGTCCCCTTTCTTAATAATAGTATGAAATTGATTTCCTTTTGAAATGATTTAAAGTTTAACCTTGGAGTTCATTTGCTGTTTCAATAAATTTAGTATAGTTCATATTTAGTTCAACAAAAAGAAAAGATTAAATTTTACAATTAATCTACTTGTACAAAGTACGTAGACAAAATTTGTTAACAAAATAGATGTTGACAAGATCTAGGCTGTTAATTTGTTTTGATTTCAATATCTGATTTTGCAATAAGTGATATAGATCTTCCAACTCATTTTTTGTCAACCTCCTTTGTCAACGTTAAAATCAATATTAAATTTTAAGTTAAAATCAATATTAAATTTTAACCACATGTTTATAGGATCAACAATTTTCTCACCACAACGTTATTCTTCTTCTATTAAAATCTGCTAAAAATTTATTTTCGTCCTAACCAAACACAACATATAAAAATAAAATGCACAATCTTGTAAGAAGCAATGAAATTAAGAAATTTAATGTAGGGAAAATTGTAGAGAAGGTCTCAAACCTTTCAAAAAAGTGCAACATGATCCTAAATATTTAAATCATAGCATATATGTTACAAACCTTTCAAAAATGCTTTTTAGAATTTTATTTACTTATTTATTTTAAGTGGAAAAAGTTAAGAGACCATTTTGCCCTCTCAAAGATGGTCAAATTATAATCGAATGCTTGATTTTTAGTCAACTAATCGAAAATCATTCAGAAGTTTTTCTATTACATAAATTTAAAGGTTTATAACGTATCTGCTACGATTTAAAATTTTGGGATTGTTCATTCAGAAGTCTTTCTATTACACAAATCTAAAGGTTTATAATGTGTCTGCTACGATTTAAAAATTTGGGAACGTTCTGCTCCTTTTGGAAGATTTGAGACCCTGCTTCAAATTTCTCTAATTAAAATTACTTCAACGACTAAAATTTTTAACTACGTGACTGCTGAAATCAACCCTTGGACCAACCATAGCCTATGAAGCATATTCCTATTAGGACAAAAGCATCTTAAGATATTGTTACTAATATTTGAAAAAGCACATCTCGTGCCCATCACGTGACTTTGGCCTAACAACTCGCCTACCTCGGTCCCTCTCCTTAAGGGAGATATTTGTGTCCCATTATTTGTAGATAATATATTATGAAATAGTGGTTGATGTTAAAATGTATGGTTAAAAAAGAAAAAAAAATTTAATTTATATATAATATTATTTTAATAAAAAATATTTGGTTATTTACAAACAAAAGCCTAAGTACTTTTCTGCACCTTGTTTTCTTCGAACAAAAGGTCCCCCACCAACATAGTCTCTTTCATCCATCTGCAGATTCTGCACTTCACACTGTCTGTTGTTTGTTCAAAAATCATAAGGTTTATTCTTCTTATTTTTCTTCCCTCTTTATATATCTGCATGCACGTTTATTCATCGGCATCTTAGATCTGATATAGTTACATTTCGCTTACCTAGATTTGTTTTTTTATTTCTTTTTTTGTGTGTGTTTTAGTTTGAAAAGAGAGATGGGTAGCTCAGGATTTTCATGGAAACTTAACGATCACCCAAAACTGCCCAAGGGGAAAATCATATCAGTGGTGGTTTTGGATGGATGGGGCGAGGCCAATCCGGATGAGTACAACTGCATCCACGTTGCACAAACTCCAACCATGGACTCCCTAAAAAATGTAATATAGTAAATAATAATTTTTATATAATAAGTTTTTTAAATTCTAATTGTTTCTATTTTTACTAGATTGATTTTCTTTTCTAGAATGATATGGGATGATTTGTTTATTTCTGTTGTGGAATAATTGTTGAAGGGTGCGCCTGAGAAATGGAGATTGGTAAAGGCGCACGGCACAGCCGTGGGGCTGCCTACAGAGGATGACATGGGCAACAGTGAGGTTGGTCACAACGCTCTTGGTGCTGGCCGGATTTACGCACAAGGGTGAGCTTCATTTTATTTTTCGTCATTAAAGCCCAAAAACATCAGATTTGAACTTGTACATTTGTTTCAGTTAAGTCACTACACATGTATACCTTAATCAATTTAGGAGAATGGAACAGATAATAGGAGCAGTAAGGTTCTAAAAAATCTTTATCCACATGTAATCTCGGATTAGAGTAAGTATTAATGTGTTTCAATCATTTGCTTTTAACGATAATGTGAGTCACCCCAATATGTGAAAGCGAATTAGGGTTTGAAATTTAGGACCAAATGGAGCAGTCTTTAGATTTCAATGCAATTGGCAAGTGTTCGATGCTGAAGATATGGTGGACCGACGCTACTTCTGGTCAAAGACACTGATCAATGAGTAAAACTAAAATGAATGTATAAGTTCAATGACCATCCATGCGAAAAAAACTCGGGGAAGAATCTTTTAAGATATTTGGTTTGGCATTCTATGGAGCAACTTCCCAGTATGCTCGTGATTTCTGCCACAAGAATGTTGAACTGTGAAGGGAAACAGATTTTATTCAAAAAATGTCTCATGCACAATCACGAGGACCATTAGTTTTATAT